ACCTGTAAGACACACAAATACATTAGATTTGCTTTGACAAGGCTCTTGACAATAAAAAAAAGATACCCAGCAATAAGAGGGCAGACACAAAGGACCTCAAAGGGATACACTTGTGCCAGCTCATGGTCCAAGAGGTACCTGGTAAATACTTATGGGAGCACCTTCACAGTTGTCTATTGGGCACAGGGAAAGTCAAAGCCAGTGTTTACCCTACACTTCCCTCTCAGTGCCTGGTCGCTGACAAGCTCTCAGCCAACACAATCCAAGACTTGGCTGCCAGATTTGTGTGTCTCTAAATTGCCCTTGCAGTTTCCTAGCATTTTACAGCCCAGCCTGTAAATGTTGATGGTCAAGCACCAGGCAGAGTGTGCAGAGCTGCATCCAGGCTGCTGGCCCAGCACTGCTGCAAAAAAAAAAAATGCTGGAATGAGCACACTGTGCTGCCATAGAAGAGAAGAGCTACTGTAATTATATTTTATCTTAGTAATAAGGCATCAAGGTGTGATAGACCACATCCTTTTCCCCTGAATCCACCTGTGAAAGAAAGCTTCCTTCACAGTAGGCAGAGAGTTTTGTAAACGTTCATAGGCAGGGCCAGCTGAGATGAAGCTGAAGCAGGAAAGTACAAGCAAGGAAAGAGGTGTGTAAAGGCAGAGTTGTACCTGTCGAGCTCGTCCACGGGAGTGCCGCTGCCCCCCAAGCCGCAGTAGCAGCCGTAGTGGTTGAATTCCAGCAATGGGTGGCTTTGGGGCAGGGTGCACTTGATCATTTCACGGAACAGCCACACGGCCCGGGGTGAGGCCTCCTCGGCACTGGCTGCACCCACTGCGGACAGACAGACAGACAGACAGAGGGTGGTTAGAGTCAGGTTTGGGGTTACCTGGGCCAGGACGAGGGCACCTACACACCCGACAGCAGGAAAAGCAGGGCCAGGAACTTCATCCTTGCAGCTCTTGACACAAACACTGGTGCCAAGGGAAATGAGTCTTTATACAGCAAGCTCACCTTGACGTGGTATGAGATAAACCAGCCAGTATTTATGTTACTAAATGCAGACTTCTTCCATCGGGGGCTGTGGGCGCCAGGTTGTGGCGTGACCAGTTGAAGGCCAATTGAGTTAAATCCATAAAAGCTGGAAAGGCAAATATTTGCTCTCTAGGATCTTGCTATTAAATTCTTGTAGTATTGCTATTAGAAGTCAGCCTGAAAGATCTGGATATTTTTAAGGGCTCTCTACTAAAAAATAATATCAGTATGGTAGTTACGTTGGGAATTTCTGGCACACTAATAACCACCTGCCACTAATACTTGCATCCTACATGGTATCCCACATATCATTAATCCTGTATCTCTCCATGGGTTCTCCTGGCATAATTCAGAGAATAAGATACAGGTTGTCCACTCATATCAAATGACCATTTGGCATGAGCTCACCTGAAAAAAAAAAAAAATCAAGCTATTCTTTACTTTAAAAACACAGAGGAGAAGGAGGTACTACTAGACAAGAAATAGGAGCCAAGTGACCTGGAAAACTTTAGGTGGTTTAAACAAGGAGTAGTATCTGGTTTTATGTGGCCTTAAGCAATGTACATTGGAAATGAACCAGGCTTAGAAGTTTCAACATACACAGCAGACTTCAGTGACTTAGAGCAGTTTCTCTTTCTCCAACACCAATGCAGAACCCAGTTAAGAACCTTTGGTTTTCTATGCAACAGGATGAGGAGAGTTGGGAACCTTGAAAGAAGCTAAAAAAAAATGGGTAAGAAAAGTCTTCCTGGAATCAGTCGGGGTAAGTAAAACAGTGTGCTCATATTTAGATCCCAGAAGCTCTGGCATTTTCAGGGCTACAGGTCTGGCATTTTTACACACTCAAGATACGGTTCCTAGACGTGGCTGTCAAGTCTGCATTGATAAACAAAGCACCAGAGAAACACAAAGGCCACCTTTCTACAACAGCCAAATACACCAGGGTGCTCATGCAGGAAACTTTGGGCTCACATCCCACCAGTAGATTCCAAAGGGTTGATGAAGACACCTTCCTCCTCATAGGGTCTGAAACTACACCAGGACACCCACAGTGCCCACTGGATGTTGACATATCCATAGGACACCTAGGGAAAGTTAGACATGGTGCTGAACAAACAGATCCATTCCAACTTCTTTGATCTTTGCAAGTGCTCCCATTCTGAGGCTCCCCACTCATGGGTTACCACAGCTGAACAGATGCTGGGTTGATTTAAGATTCTCAGTGTTCTAACCCAATATTGAACAAACATTAAAGGCTGATGTAAAGGACAATCTGTACCACAGTTAGTTCAGAAAAAATAATTTTGTCTTTTGCCCACATATCAATCTGTCAACTTTCCCTTCAATATCCACTTAAGAGATCTCTTTCTTCTCTGCTTTTAAAATTAAAAAAAAAATTGTTTTCTTACCTATGAAAATTAGGAGTCTGGTTCCTTTTTCTCTGTTCTCGGTATATGATGTATTATTGATGTTTCCTAGAAAATTTCCAGTCAACCGGCCTTTTTAAAATCATAAGTCAACAATTTCCTACATTTTTAGTTCAACAAAAGAATCACCAAGTGTGGGAAAGCAAGCACATGAGTATTACAAGAGCCTCATGAGAAAAATCCCAGCAGGGTAAAGATTTTTCCACCAATGCTATTTTTGGTTTCCCCCAACCTGTGCTGTATACAAAGCCACTGGTCCCTTGGTACACTTGTGAGCACATTCCAACCTCTAACTGGTTCAAATTTACAGGCTTAAGCCTTAAATTATTTTTAAGACTTTTTTTTATAAGTCCTTCTCTCTTTTGTTTTGTTAAGGACTTTACTTCCCATCTCCACATTTTACTTCCTTGCATCTAGTTTCCTTGGTCCACCACAGTCAATTGAATCCAGGGTATGTGCTAACCCTGTAAGCACCACATTATCTCATTTTCTGAACCTACAAATACTTACAACAAAACCTCTGTAATGTAAAGAGACACAATCTCCACTAAAACCAGATCTGCCTCACATTATAAACTGGCCACTGCCAAAGTGTGGGAGCAGAACAGCAAGTCAGAGACCTGCCTGGGGCTTCTATCCTCAAGGCAGGATGCAACTCTTGCCAGGTCCTGAAATCTCCCCCACTGGAAAACCTTGCGCCCCCAAATAATGACAGAGAAGGACAGTTTTCAAATAATTTATTAGGAATTTAAAACTGAAATCTGGAAAAAGGGTTACAGGTGTGGAGAGAACAAACACTGGAGTGTAATAACTTACTGGCTTAAAAACACAGCTTTATTTCTTTTAAAAAAATGCCCACCCTGAAACCAGAGCCCCAGCCTCCAGGCAGTGGCCAGAGAGTGACTCACAGCCCAGCAGCAGCACAGCTGGCCCGGGATGTCTGGAGGGGGCACGGAAGCAGCTCAGCGCATACACCAAGAGGGAGGAAAGCGCTGTCCGCAGACCCAAATTTGAAGTATATAGAATAAAAATAAACCCAATAAAATGCAGCTCTTCTTTAATTAGGAAATATTTAAAAAAACAGACATACAGACTCTTGTCTCAGTAACAAAAATTATTGCTTTGTGTTTTCAGTACTGATCTGTTAAGTACCTTCTTACCTAAACAGAACTCTCCAAACGCATCGCCCAGGTCAGGACAAGTTCCAGCAGACGGGGGAGAGATAGAAGAGAAAAAGGGCCCTGTGGGCACTGTGGCCCTCCCAGTCCTTTTCTAAATGCCCATCTCCTTTACAGGGGCTCAGTTTGGGGGAAGAGAGGGAATGATTTTTAAAACTTAAGATGAAGCTTTTATTTCCCTGGGAAAAGAGTTTGGCTGCATCTTAATAAAAGGCTTAATCACCCCCCTTAACAAGGTCTTTGGTTCACTGAAATCCAGACCCAAACCTGCCCCATGTATTCCTGCTGGAGGTCTCCCCTGGCAGAGTGCTGGTTGGCAGAGGCCTGGACCATACCAGGGGAAGCCCCAGCAGGTTCTGGAGAAGGGACCAGATCGCCCCGCACAGGACAACGGACAAATTCCCACAGTCTTCAGAACACAGAGTAAAGCAAACGGGAAGCTGCAATTCTATAATTCATATAATCCCTGAGAAGCCCTTAACCCGCCCCCAAATCACCACCCTAATGCTTTTCTCCCCTGTTAATGAATCCCCATCCCAGAGCCCTGCCCTTCAGAGAACGACTACCCAAATCTCCCCCTGGCCAACACCCCTTCTGATACCCTCGCCTCCAGAGGAGGATCCCCTTTCCCAGGAAATCTTGACGCAAGCGATAAAGTTTGGAGAGTGAATTCCTTTCAAAGTAACCAAGACAAGCAACGGCGGCAAAGCCTTTCCCTAAGCCAGCCCAGAGCCGGTGCTATGGAGCCCAGGGATGGAGTCTGTACATCAAGCAATTGGAAGCAGCTTTAACCCGCTCAGCAAAACAGCCGATGGCTGGTACGTTTCACCCCGCCCGCCCCCCCGCCCCCCTTTCATCTCATCTCATCAGAGGTCTTAAAATCTTACAGTAAAAGGTGTACAAAAAAAGAACAAAGTCCTGTCAGGATTCTGCTGGAGAGTATTGCTCACGCTGCGGCACCAAGTCCAGGACCTGGAGCTGCTCCTTGGAGCCAGGCTGCAGGCAGCAGCCAGGTTCAGCTCACGATATTTACATATTATACAGGAGGAAAAAGAAAACCCCACGTAAAACTAAACCTAGGAAAAAAAAAAAATCTTTCAGCTGTAAGGATAGTGTTTTTCACTTAGCAAAATATACATTTGTTTTGTTCCATAGCAATGTCCAACGTTTTCGGATCCTTGGAGTTTCACACTTTTCAAAGCCTCACATTTACAAAACAGAAACAATTAAAAACAGTTTCTTTAAAAAAAATAGAAATACAGCAGTTCCTCTCAGCCTTTGCTCTCTCTCTGTGTCTCTTTCTTCCCTTCAGAACTGCATTCTTGTTACATACCGTGCTTTAAAAACACTGACGACAACAACAACAGAGTTGAAAATATTCAAAACAGTTTCAAAGCCAAATAAAAATACTCCTCAATGAAAACTACCTAACACAATCACAAAGCCAATTCATAAAATATGTCTACTAGCTCGGGAAAGAGCAAACAACAAAAAGAAGGGGCAGCCCCCAAAAAAGATAAAAAAATAAAATAAAAAAATAAAACTAACAGCTAATAAAATAAATAAAAGAAGAATCAGTGGGCTGGGGGCAGGGAGGGGGAAGCGTAAACCGTCGGTGGTTAGTAGGAAAGCGAGATGATCTCCTCGGGTTCAGTCCAGTGTGGTCTGGTCAAAGGGAGAGATCGGGCAGGGCGGCAGGAGCCTGGCAGCCAGCCGGCAGTGTGCAGTTTGATTCAAGAGAAAGGAAACCTTGGCTCATCCCCCGAGGCTCACCAGATCCTCCAGCCACGCGCTGTCCTCGGTCAGGTCACTGGGGAATCTGCGGGAAACAGCAGGGGAGGGAAGGGACAGGGTCTAGAACAGCCACAGCTTTCCTCCTGGGGTTTTTTTCTGGTGTGTTCTGACAGAAACACTCAATACCCAAACTTTGCCCCGACACAGTCTTGCTCTGCACATGGCAGGCACAGCAGAGATGTTTCTGTCTTCAATGGCAATGTGCAGGCCTAGGGAACAAGGTCCCACACCCCACATGGCCTGGTCCCTGTGAGGGCTGGGACATAGCAGAGTCCAGCCATTTCCCCAGCACTTAGTCCAGCCCTGCCAGGCTGCCATGGGCTCCTGTCTGTGGACACTGCTCCCTCCAGTTTTTGCCCTCCTTTCTGAAAAGCTGGTTGTTCACTTTTTTTAATTTTAAATTTTAAGCCAGCTAACTTCAGTCATATTTGCAAAGCAAACAAAAACTATTCACCAGTTCCCTCTCAGCCCATCCAAGGACCAATACCAGAAGTGATCAGATTGTCCTTCTGCCTTCTCCCAGGCAGGAGATGAAAACTTCACTTCCCAGAGACTGGTCTCAGCAGCAGTGAGAACAACCAGCTGCATGGTGGAGGCTTCCCCAGCCCCGCAGAAGAGCCAAGCTTGTCTCTCAGATCACCACTGGGTTGTGACTCTGGCCAACCCTGTAGATGTTTTCTTTTTTTGTCAGAACTTCATTTTCTTCCTCTTTGTGCCAGACACTAAGACACTCTCCAACTCCCAGCCTGGGGAGTGTTCAGTAGGAACCCAACCTGCCAAGCCTCCTGGTTCAGGAGGGAGCCCAGGCAGGCCACAGGACTCCTCCCAGAGGCTGGGCCAGGCCATGGAGCTTCACAGCAACATCCACAGCTTCAGCTGAGAGCCCAAGCACAGGGACCAGCTCAGAACCTCACTCCTCTCTCTCATTACCTGCTCCTGTTCAAAGCTGTCTTACCTCCTGCCTCCTTGGTCCCCAGCTTCAGTGATACCCATTGGTAAAAGCTGTTGCAATCAAGGGACCCTGTGAAGAAAGAGTTAAAACCCCACTCTTAAACAAAAGAACAGTGAAGAAGAATTGCTAACACAACAAATTCAGTCATGGCCCAGATGACAGAATAAATGTTTTCATTTGGAGGTGCCAGGTCTAAAGATCACATCGCCCTGCAGAATGCTGTGTCAGGGCCAAGATGGGCTCTTGGAAAGCCTGGTCTAGATCAGGGAAAGGACTGGAGATCAGGACCTTGAGTGGTGATCAGAGAGAGCCAACAGAAACCAAGCATGTGGGCTCTGCACTGTCCATCTTGGTCTGGGGCTCAGCAGTGGCACAGCCAATGCTGCAGTGGGTGGTATTTCATAACCAGAAAACAGACTGTGGGCTGAGGGGGCTGCCTGCTGCTGCTCACCTCCCTCACCACGTGGAGACACAGCCCACTCCCCATGTCCCTCCCTCCAGAGAGGGCCCAGAGGGAGCACTCACCCCTAGGCTGTGTCCAAAGCCGGTGCTCGGGGCTGGGCTGGCAGCGCTGATGTAACTGCTGACCCCTGAGTCCTGGTTGGCGGCTCCGTAAAGCTCTGCCATCGGCCCGGGACTGGTGGTGCCCAGAAAGCCTCCGGTGCGACTGGGGGTGGAACCTACAGCAGGCAGCAGAACTACGGAGTGAAGATCCCAAAAATGCAACCCCGTCCCACCCCCCTCCCCAGCCCCTTGGCAAACCTCCTGCAGGACCCGTGCTGGGGAGGAAAGTGGAGTTACCTGTCCCTCGCACCACAGCCGCCGCAGCTGCTGCTGCTGCCATCGGTCCATACGCAGTGAGGGGGATTGCTGCAAAAGAAGGAACAGGCATCTCAGGAGCACTGTGGCTACATGGGAAACTCCTCAAAGGGAGCCTGCATTTCCTACTGCAAAATACTGGGCTCACACATATGTATTGGCTTAGTGCACCACACATTAAAGGATGACAACGGGGAAGTGCGTAGCCCTGAATTTATCAGTGCTCTTTTGCACAGCCAATGTCCAGGGGATTGCACAAGCCATGCTCTGTCAAGCCCACATCCCAGAGCAGCCAAAGGCACGGTGTGGAAGAGCTGAATGAGAAGTGGGCAATTTCAGATGTATCCTGTCACTACTAAGCTTGCAAGATGCAGTTAATCTGAAGCTACAGATCCAGATTTTGGCAGTAAATGTGGAGAATGGCAACAGCTCAGGGACAGCAGCTGAGGCTTAACATCCTGAGGCTCAGCCCCTCCTCTGTCTCTTGTTAATATTCTTGAATAACAGTTTAATAGCCTCTTTCTCCCTATTTCTTTGCTCAAGACATACCATTCTACCCACACTGAGTTTTGCTCCTGATTGCTCAAAACCTCATTGTTCATTGTAGAAAAGCAGGAAACATATACCTAGGGAGCAGGAACTAGAAATGGCTTAATTAAAACAGTAAGTCTTAATTTATATGTAACAGTTCTAATTCCCAACTCTACTGCCACAGGCATTCAGCCCTCGGGGCAGGAGGCATCTAGCCAGTATGTTTCTCTTTGCCCTTAAAATGACTGGGTCAGCATTTCATGCTTGAATGTGAAATTCACTGTGATTCTGTTTAGAGCACCATAAAAGAGGTCAGAACAAATCAATCGCGTAAAGGCTGAAACCCAGACTAGCTTAGGAGGGAATATTTAGTAGCAGGCACCAGCCTGTTTCAAGCAAACGTCATAGGAGGCTTCTATCTGGGTTAGCCGCTCATTACAGGCCCTGGGCCAATGCAGGCATGTTGCTGCTTCACATCACCCCCAAAGATGCTGTTCTGGGAAAGAAAGGCTGCTGGCAGCCACCCTCCTGCAAGTCCCTAACACATGAGTGAATGTGGTTTTACTGAGAAACGAGGCAAGGTCATCTCAAAAGCTCCAGCTCTTTTTCCAAGAAAAATCCTTCTTGCCTTTGCAGTGTTATCTGCTGAGACACCAGGTTTGTGCTGGGTGACAAAGCACCTGTGTGTGCATCCCTGCCTGTGCCATCCCCTCCCCTTGGCTCCCCTCCCAGAGCTGTGAAGCGCAGCCCGTGTGTGCTGCAGCCACTCAAGGCACGAGGGCCCTCGAGCGCACGGCTCTGCCCTCCCCAGGGCCAACTGCAGCCTCTGCACGGGAACCACAGCCCAGCCAGGGCTGTGCAGCGCCTGCTTAACAGGAGGGAAGCGTCTCGGGGAGGGAAGGATGCCACGATCCCCAGCTGGTACTTCAGCAAGACACTCAGGACTGTAAGCTAATGTGGCACCCAGCCAGGACAGCAGCATTAATAACTTCTTGTTGTGCAGAGCTCTGGTGCACCCCGAGCACCAGTGACAGCCAGGCTCTGGGTGAGTCACCTCTGCTAGGAAAAGGCACAGGACAGATGGGGGTGGACATCAAGGGAGAAACTATTCTACCAAGTCACCAATGTTCCTCTACAAATGTGATGGGTTTTGCAGAAAAACACACATGTAAATAAACAACTGGACACACATGTGCTTTGCTTGCCAAGCAGAAGGCTCAAAGGTGCTTATGCAGCTGCATACATGGTGTCAGGGAAGGGTTTTGTTATGAGGGAAATGGGATTTAGTTTTCCCCTACCTCCCTCAGGGAAATTTGTTCATTGGTGACTGCCAACCTCAGCATCCTCACAAACAGAGAGTCCCTGAGGATTAACATAGTTTTGTGCCACAGAAACTGCCTTTCAAGCCTTGTTTGTACTGCTAATTCCAGAAGAGCTTCCTAGGAAGGTTTTCCATACCCCTTTGCAGAGAGATTCAAACCCTGAAACAGGTGGGGGCAAGGAAGCACTGGGAAGGAGGAACACTATGGAAATGAAATGGCACATGGGGAGCAGGGTGCTACAAAAAGCTGCTTTTCTATGACAGAAACCATGGACAGGACAGAGCTGGGAAAATATGGCCGTGGAAGGGAGAGTAGACAGAAGGAACATCACGTAGGGAGAACACACTGCACACACCCCAGGGCCTGAGGATCCAGAGGGCATTTGCACTTTGAGGAAGGACACGGAACACAATCCTCTGCTCCCATTTTGTTCCACAGCTCCCTACAAGCACTGCAGGACTTTGCAAGGTCCCAGCACACTCACTCCTACCTGGGAAGCCTGTGTGGGAGTGGCTGGGGAACTGTACCACTCAGAGAAGGGAAATCATTCCCTGCAGCCCCTCCTTCCCAGGGAAATGGGATTAGAGTAACCAGGAGGGCATCCACATCCTCTCCCTCCTCCCAGCACTCCAAATTTCATCCTTGCAACAGCTCAGGTTAACGCCATTTATAGACCTGTTGAAGTCACCCTGCTCTCTGCAGCTTCCATATCTGGTTTACATACAGCCTGGGGCAAGGAGCTAAAAATGAGGCAAGCAGCAGGAAAGGACCTGCATGGGCCTCTTCAGAGGCAATACACATGGCTCTGATTGCCTCTCCATCTTTCCATCCCCAGCTTTGAATGGAGCTTATCCAGATGAAAGAGGAAATAAGGCACATTTCCAGTCTAACTGCGCCAGGCTGTGGAGCAGCAACACCACTGAAACAGCACAAAGCCCCCTTCTCCCCTTGCAGCTTGTGAGTTTAGGAAATGAGTGGGACTGACCTGTGAGCTCAGGGAGGACGGGGGCACTCGGGAGAGGGGTCCGCTCTACACGGAACTCTAAAAACGAAATGCAAGACAGCTTAGGAACTCATCAAATGCCCCGAGGGAGACCCCCAGAGACACAGCAGCCGGGGTCTGCTGGGGGAGCAGTCTGCAACCAGACTGCAACCAGGCCAGTGTCTTCTTTAAACTGATTTATAACTGGTGCTGAAAGGTGCTGGACTCCTGCCCTGAAGGCTGAAAGGATCCATTTATCCTTGGAATAAATGTGGCCAGGGCAGGGCGAGTTCAAGCCTCACTGTGTAGCCTCAGGTCTGCCCTGGAGCACCACTCTGTGACCCAGCCAATCTGACCTCTCAGCCAATCTGACCTCTCAGCAGCAAGGCCAGTGGGTGCTCAGTATGTGCCACACTCAGCCTGGCACAGGTTTACAATGAGGGACTTGAAGCCACTACAGCTAGATTCATGGAGAGCTTCCAGACAGCCAGGAGGCAACAGCAACTTTCAGCCAGTTAGCCTGGGCTCACCTCAGACAAAGAGGAAACTTCCCATTCCCAGCCCTTAATATCAAAACTTCATATATCAACCATCACACTGAGGGATGGAGTGAGGAAGGGATGCTCAGAGTTGCCACAACTCTAGAAAATAGCAATAGCACAGTGTGTCCCTTAAGTGTGCTCTGCCTCATTCCCTGGCCTGGCAGAGAGTAGGAGGGGAGGCCCTGCAGCTCTGAGCAGCTGCAGCACAGCAGGTTCCAGCCATTGATCGCTGAATCCATGTTCTCAGCACATGGCAGTGTTAGAAACCACTCTGTTTGCAGGGGATCTGCAGCCCCCTGGCCCAGCAGATGCTTTGTGAAGGCTGTGAGTTGTCCAGGCACTGTTCAGATCACAACTGCAGTGCTGCAGGCACCTGCCTTTTGCGTGCCCAGGAGATCACTGGCACATGGGGTTTAGCATTCTGTGCTACTTTCAGAGTGGTGGCAACTCTGGTAAAGAGAGACAGACACACACAAAGGCAGTGAGACAGGCAGAGCTGCAGGGCCCTTCTGTGTCACAGCAGCAGCCCTGCAGAGGAGGCCAGCAGAGAGGACATCGGAGCAGCCTTGGGCTTTTCCTGCCACTGCAGCGTGAGGATAATCCTAATGAAGGACAAGCTGTTCCCACCTATTCCAGGGCTTCTCCAATCCCCCTTCCACATCCATCTCCAATTTAAAGAAAGACCAAACAGGGAAAAGGGTGAAAGGGGCAGAGCCTGGGTTATAGATCATGCCAGGGGCTCCCATCACCTGAAGGCAGAGCAAAGAACAGAGCAGGGAGCTCCACTCACCAGGGAACTGGTAAGTGTAACCAGGTGCAATGCCAGTGTAACTTCGACTCGCGTAGGTGGCAGCTTGGAAGCCTGGATAACCTGGGGAAGAGAACAGGACTCTGTTACTGCAAGCTGGCAAGGTCTGGCTGCTCACCAGCAGCAGGAGCATCCTTTGGCATCAGACAGCAGAGAAGGGCAACAGCAGAAGCCCCAGGAGAGCACTGGGCAGAGCGCACAACACGTGCGAGCCTGCAGAGGAGTTTTAGCAGGCCCGTTTAATTTTTCCTTGCTCCAAACATGTAAGGACATGGAGATTTCCTTCTCAGACTCACAGCTCTGCAGACTAAGGCTTTCTGATGCATCAGCTGGATTTACAAACAGGAGATCAGGGAGGAGGGGGCATTTGAATGGCTGAGTCACTTTTGCACTAGAAGGGTTGGTGAATGCAGGTACAAAGAACATTTCTTCATGGTGCAGGCAGGAGCACAAGTCCTGCTCTTCCCCAGGAAGCTGACCACCTATAGGAACAAGCCTGTGAGAATGCACGGCATTGACTCACAGATGAGTATTTAATTTGAGATCTCCCAAGACAAGAGTCCGTGGATTTCCCAGTGACTCAGTTGGAGTCTTGCTGCTTTAAAATTCAGATGGCTTAGAAAAGGCAAAACCCAAAACTACAGGCTGGAGATTTATTTTCCTTCAGTAAGTCAAGTGAAAACATTGGTGGAAAAATGCCCTTTTGGGGGTTTTGTTCAGTGACTAACTGCTACTCAGCAGGCTTAGCACTGAGAGCCAGGTTGAGTACATCCTGCCCAGCAACACCAGCAATGATCCTGAGCAAACAGTGCTCTTGGGTCAGCTCAGTCCTGGCTCCAATGAAAGTGAGAAGAGAGAGAAGCCAGGACCTGCACCCACACTGGTAGGATCATGCTGACTCTCAGATTCAGGCATTAGGTTTTGTGCTCCTACAAAAGATAGGGCTACAAATTATTTTTGTGTTTTTAATTTTTAAATTTTTATCTGAATGCTATTGTCTTGGGAGCATTGGTAGACATGAAATCCAGCCTGCTTGTCACCAACTTCTCCTTACAAGACAGTCCCCATGATAAATCTATAACTTTCCCTGCAATACCAGGTGTTTACTGTACCTGAAAGGAAGGGAACAGAGTGAGACAACACTCAACCAGAACTTTAAGGGCATTTTAACAGTCTTTAAATGGCAGTGGGGACATTTACACAGACCACTGCTTCAAGTGGAAGCTTAGCGACTCTAATCAACAAATTCATCAGAAAGCCTATACAAGTACGGGATAAAGAGGCCTGGGTACAGATTACTCCACACTCAGCTCTGCAGTTACATCCTATTCCACATGAAGGAATTGCTGTCCCCGTGCACTGCGGGACCGTGGAGGAGCTGCCGATGGGCAGAGCCGGCCCGGGTGTCGCAGGACCGGCTCGGGTGTCGCAGGACCGGCCCGGGTGTCGCAGGGCGGCGGTGGCACGCCTGCAGTTTTTCCCGGTGCCACCAGAGGGCAAGTTGCGATCGCGAACAGGTCCCGGCGGCCCCGCACGGGGAGCGCTGCCCTTGGCCGCCCCGGCGCTCCCGGAATAAACCTCTAAGCTGCTGCCTGGCACGGCCGGGAGCGGGGGGAGCGCGGCAGAGCTGACCGGGGCTTACCCAGCATGCCGATCCCCAGCATGAAGGCATCCATCCCGTAAGGCATGACTCGGGACCGCCCTCGTGCAGAGCCCGTTGGGGACATCACCTCCTTCGGCTGAGCTTTTTTACACTCCACCTGCCACAGGAAAGTAAGGATCAGGCTCGCCTGTCACAGGCTGGATCCCAGACTGTCACAGGACACGGCCACGGAGCACAGGCAGGTCAGGCAGGGCTGCCTGCGTGACAGCACGTCCCAGCCCCAGCCACCGCTGTCAGCCTGCCCTGCTGCCCTTCTCAGGCATCGCTGTCCCCAGCCCACATGGTGCCAGCCTTCCCTCTTGCTCTGCAGCCACCACAGGCAATGGGGAGCTCCAACACTGCTTTTCTCCTAGTGGTGTTGCCCTTGATGTTCTACTTGACCCTGCACCAGAGCCTCAAAGCCTGATTTTCCTCATTTCTGAATAAAGATAAAACCTGCCCCCCTCCCAGGCCGCTACAAGGTTTTGTGTAACTTCAAAAACGCCAAGCACAGTACCATTCCTTGTTTAGTTAGCTCTCCTCCTCGAGAACTCAGTATTATGCTTGTTCACCCCCATAAGGTGAGGTTCTTCCCCAGACTGACTGCTGTGATTTTTGGGAAAAGACTCAATCTGATTCCCCACTGCAGAGAAGATGCATCAGGACCCAAGTGCCTCGCACCCTGCCTCTCCCACATCCACACCGCTGTCCCTGCTCCCCCAGGCTCTGCCCCAGACACTCACCATTTTGTTGTTGATCTCATGGAAGTGGATTTCACATACTTTTTCCACAATGTCTTCACTTTCAAATGTGACAAACCCAAATCCTGAAGAAAAAGCAAAACTCCCTGATCAGGTCAGACCTTTCACAGTTTGAACTCTCTCCTCACAGCCTTTTATTGGCAGGAGAAAAGGAGAGTACAATCAGCCCTTTCGAATACAGCTGTCACTCATCTTCCCTCTCCAGCAAATTCTACTTTTATGCACAAGAACAGGACTGTCCTCTTACAGATTCTCCTCTCCTACTCATCCTGTATTTCCACCCACTCTGAACCCAACTGGTCTCAAATCCAGGTTTGTTGTTCTTTGGTTTTTTTTAAACTTTGCTATTTGCAAGGCAAACCACATGGCTGGTAACACTGGGGAGGATCTGGGCAGATGCTCACACAAAGAATCGGTGGGGAAACCAACAGCTGCTTGCCAGGACATCACCACCCTCACTAAACGCACCCCACCAGCAGGAACACCCTGCAGCTCCCTCACAGGCACTGGCCATAAAGCCTCGTGTGAGCAGGCACAGATCAGCAGTGCAGCTGCACACAGCAAGGCAGATATAGGCACAATGATTTGCAAAGTTTCACCAAAGTAAGGTTTGTATCTGGGGTAAGACAGGACAGCGTGTTCCTGGCCCCTGGCCCACGCTCGCACCTCCTTTCTCTCACCAAGCCCTTTGCTGACAGTTCTGGCAAAGCCCAGCTCGGGTGGGCAGACTGAACTCCTCTAAGCTGACTGCAACCGTTTCCGGAGAACTGAGGCAGGTGGGAGGATGTCTTAGAGCTTGCTGTGCAAGCAAGCTGGGATTAAGCAGAACTTTCCGCTTTCCAGAGCTGGCCAATTCCAGAGCTGGTGCTGTCAAATAACATTCAAAAGCAAACGGGAACCCACTGCCCGTACCTCACCTTTCCTCCACACTCCAGAAACACCTCGCTATAAACTCCCCCATCTGTCTGTGCCCAGGTAGATTCACACCACTCATCTCAACACCCATAAGCAGAGGAGCTCAGGAATTCAGCAGAAAAATGCCAAAAGCAGTCCTGAGCCCCATCAGACTCCCACCAGGCCTGCTATGCCCTGGGCTGAGCCCCCTCTCTGCTGACACAGTGGCTAGCAGCTCTCCCTGCTGCCTCCCAAAATGCCCAACAGCTCTAATTGGACCAGTGACTGGCAGGCACCCATGGAGGAACAGGGGTTAATGCTTCTTCCCTTTCAAGATGAAGCTGGAACAACATCCTAGGACTGCCGAGGCCTGGCAGTCAGAGTAGATTTAATGGCTTTACAAAAAAGTAAAAATCTGAAGGGCACAGAGAGTAGCAAGAGCAGAAGGGAGAGTTCCCTCGCTGCTCTGGGGGCAGGAGTGCTTGGAAGTGCTTCAAACAACACACAGGAAAGCAGCCAGCATAGGGCTGTTACTGACCCTGACTGGGAAGAGGCTGAAGCTAAGTTTGCAGGTCAAGCTGTTGCCATTAAATCTCCGAGTTGGATGCAAGTGTCAAGCCCTGCCACACCACCAGGTAGTTGGTCTGAGGACTGACCAGGAAGGCAGGGACACCCATGGATGGGCTGGGTCTGTATAGCACAAATAGTACAGCCTTGCTCCCATCCTGTAACCAGACTCCACCAGCAGGACTCGGGTAAGAAAAGGTGACCTGGGAGCACAAGTGGGCTCCAGGCCGAGGAAGGGGCGAGAAGCAGGCACTCTTCAGGCTCTCGTGTCAGCTTTCCCAGAGCTCAGATTACTCGGGACAAGGTAAGACACACACTGCAGGCTGGAGCCACGGAGGTGAGCATGCAGAGGAGGGGGCCGTCTCCTCTCACATATCTGCAACTCGACGAGTTTACAGCACAGGAAACGCACTGGACAAAAGCTCTCTGTGCTGCAAGGGCCACTGGTAAAAGATGCAGATGCAAAAGAATGGGGTGACTGGAGGCAAGATAGAGAGCAGCTGCGACCTGCATCCCCTGCTGCTTGGACCCCTCCCTAGGCAAGGCAGGAGGCAAATCCTCTGCAATAACCTCTCCTAGGGCCAGAAGACAGCTCTCACCTCGGTGTCGGTTGGTTGTCTTGTCAAACATCAGCATCGCATCATCCACCTGCAAAGAGAATGGCTGCAGTCAGATTATTACTGCTGCAACAAGCATCCTCCAACTCAATTGTTCAGAGCTTCCCCGGCTTTCCCAAACCTGAGGGGATCAAGATGAGACATCCTGTCCCCAAGAAGGAAACAGGGTGTGCACACATATGCAGTACACATAAGCTATCGCACCAGGCACTTCCTCAAGCCACAACCAGCATGGCCCTGGTCCCCCCACCAGCCCGGGGCAGGTGCTGCTGGGCTGAGCCCTTTCGGCCCAGCCCCTGGCAGCGAGCGACCCCAATTGTTTGCCTGCAGCTCCAGCCGGGGGCCAAGGAGCAGGGAGGGCATTGTTCCCAAATCCCGGCCTCAAAGGAGAGGAGAATCAAAGGGGGGCAGAGAAGCAAAGCTGGAGAGAGGGGAGAGGAATAAGGGGCCTCCCAGCGGTGGGGGAAGCGGAGGCCTCAGACAACAGAGCCTGCCTGGGAAAGCTGGGAAGCGCCCCCACCCCCACCCCATGAGGAGCCTTTCCTCTAAGTGAGGTTTCCCACTGCTGGAGGCTGTAATTAGAGCAAATTTACTGCAAGGCCTGAGCAGGGCTGCCTTCCCGGGGGGAGGGGCGGCCGGATCCCATCCCCCAGCCGGCCTGGGGCTGCTCTCCTCCCCGGCACATCACCGCCTGGTGCCACTTTTCCCCCCATCTTCCCGCGAGTGTTGCCTTGCGGAGCCGCATCCACTCCGCAGGTCAGCCCGAGCAGGGTTAAAAAATACACTTCAATCCCCTCCGTGTAAGCCCCAGTGTAAACCTGTCCCACTGACCCATCCCTCCTCTAATACCACTGCCTTAATCCGATTATGAAACTGGACGTGCAAGTGCTCAGGGGAGGTGGCAGCAGTCTCTGGCCAGCAGCTGCCCTGGCCCTCCTCCTTCTCCATGTGAAACAGCCCCTCCCTGAGCAGCAAGTCCTGCACGCCCCCCAACTCTACAGGATTACTCCCTTGCCTTGCCCCGGGAAGAATCTGCACTGCTGCCTCCTCCTGAACAGTCACTGGACAGGGCAGAGCCCTGGCAAAGGCAGCCACGGGCTTTGCCCATGGAGACCCCACAGCCCCAGTCAGGAAGGGAGAGGCTCCCACTCTCAGGCCCCCAGGACACTCAGCTCCACCTCAGGGCCAGGTGGATGGAAGCAGCCCTTACTGATATTTCCAGTACCAACATAAGCAGACAGGGATCATATTTGATGCCCTTGGCATTGTCTAACACATCCACTCCAGGTGACAACAGACAACCTGGCTCCTGCTCATCTCACACACTTACCATCCTGGCTCAGCCTCCTCAGCCAAGTAAACAAACACCTGAGAAACATGCCAAGCATCCAGTCTGGAGCCACAGGGGACATAAGCCTTGACACAGACCCGAAGCAACTCCTCAGCAGCTTCCCAGGACACACAGTTAGGGAGATGGGTGCCGAGAGCAGCTCCTCATGCTGTCATTCCCCATTGCCACTTGCTCCCACATCTGCACCATTTCCCTTCATGGCACAGCACAACTGTGATGTGCTGGAGGGAGGCAAGACATGGCTTTAAAAAGTTCAACAGGTTTTATTGTCTGGTTTTCCCCATTTTAAAGTCTAGATCCATTCTCCCATGCAGTTCACCAAAAGGCTGGAGAAGTAGCTGTTCTCCTCCCCAGTAAACACTGGGAGAAAGCTGTGTCAAAGGCACTCTGAGGTAGTGCCACTCCTAGCTCAGGTAGCTGGAGACCACAAACCCATGACAATGAGATATGGGCGTGAGGAAAAAAAAAAACAAACTAGTGTCAATGAGCACAGGCCCACTGCTGACTTACTCTGCCTGACCAGCCCTCCTCTCTGCAGAGCCTGGGAAGCAGGAGCAGCTGCAAGTGGCACAGCCCACTGCACTTCCACACAAACTCCTGGCACAGCAATATCCCAGGCAATGGCTGGGCACTGCCACAGCACTCAAGCACTCAGAGAAAGAAGATGTACAACCATTTCATCCCAAATCATGCTGTATGCTGTGAGGAGAGCTGCAGCCTTCCTCCTTCTGCGCTTTTTCTGATGGCTCTGCTTTGAGGTGTACCCAGCACTCCAAAATGTACTTGCCTTGCAAAGACCTATTTATTGTAATACATGTACTCTATTTGAAAGCTGTTTCCTGCTAAAAACTAAATCTTATACAGTACATAAGTGTGTGTGTATATATATATATGTGTGTGTGTGCACACAACTCCAGGGCTTCAACTCTGTGTATGACTGTAACTGATATATTTTATTGCCATTAAAACCTACACATGACCATCTTTATGTCTCCTTTCAAGGCAGCCTGTGGGCTCAGTTGGGTGGTCTCAGCACACACCTGTGAGGTAAAGCAGGGCCCAGATCCTGCCTAACCCTGGCTACAGGGGATGCATACATCTGTCTCCTGCCATGGATAACTTGGGCAGACCCTCACTCTGAGGCACCACATCCAGCACCCACCAAAGCTCTGCCTGCACCGATTCTACACCCCCACGGGCCGTAAGTGGGCAGCTATTGTGGTGCTGAACCACCGCAATCCCCCACCCCCGCTCTTCCCTCCGCGTTGGGCCTTTCCCGGCTGGGCCGCGCCGGGCCCCAACAAAGGCGGCCGCCGGCGGGGCCGTCGCGATGGCAACGCGGCCGCCATGGCAGCTGGGGCCCGGATTAGCGGCTCACAAAGCCGCCCCGCAGCGCTCCGGGCCCGCGGCCTGCCATGGGCTTCGGGAGGGCACCCACCGGGGGCCTCCGGCACCCCAGCACAGGCGAACCGGCATTCCCGAGGGATTCATCCCCTCCTTCCAGCCCCGCGGCTCTGTGCAGGGCCTTCAGACCCTTCCACCAGGCTGGCCTTGGACCTGCCCCAGATGGGGCAGCCACAGGTTCTCTGGGCAGCCTGGGCCTCGGCCTCACCAGGAACAACTTCATCCTAAGAGCCAATCTAAACTTACTCTCTCTCTCTCTTTTTCAGTTTGAAGCCGTTCCCCCTTGTCCTGGCACTACATGCTCTTGTAAATGATCGCCCCCAGGAACCTGGTGCCTTGAGCTAGAGGAATCAGACAGGATGGCTTGGTCCTCCCTGCTTTCTAGGTCCTAAGTGTTCCTATGCCTTTCCTAAATAAGAAGGTAAAAAAAGAGGAGTGATTTTTTTTTTTTTTTGCATGCTTTCTGTCTGGGCCCAAATGTATTTTTCAAAAGCATCTATTCTAATTTAAAGTGGTGGCAAATCTAAGACACACTCAGACTTGTGGCCTGAGGGTGACATACAAACCTTCATGCAAAAGCCATCCAGCAGCCTGGATTCCCCTGTCCTCAGAAGCAGAGCATGATCTCCCCCTAAAGCCAACATCCAAACTGAGCTTGCCACTGGATTCTCAACAATTGACTAAAAATCACCACTAGGAACCTGGTACCTTGAGCTTAAGAAATCTGCTGTCTTCTCTCTAGATCCTAAGTGTTCCTGTGCCTTCCCTGGACAGGCAGGAGAAAAGAGGAGCAATTTTTGTCCTGCCAGGTACTAAAAAACTGTGAGGGCACTTGGAAGAAGAATGAACAGAGTTCACTCAGAGAAAGCCCTTTCCTCAGAGGGTAAGTCCCCTAAAGAAATACTTTAAAAGGGCATCCTCAACAGTTCCTTTTCACACAGTCCCAATGCAATTCCAGTAGTACTAGACCCAAATTACAGGAAAAAGTCTACCTGAAAAAAACATTCTCTGAGATGAGGATACCATGACTGAAGCTTCAGCACCTCTCACTTAAAGGTACCATAACTACAAATGATCCATCCAGCCTTGGCCAAAATACCTGGGGGTTTTCATTCCACTCTAATATCTTTCAATTTTCCCCATAGCAGATAACTAAGAATGAAAAGCAGATAACTAAGAATGAAACGGGAAGCCAATGACATCCTCATGCAGATTTAATAAAATAATAATTTCCCATGCCAGTTTGATAGGAAATATGGATGCACTTTCACAAAGGCAGATTTTGAAAGTTGGTAGTTTTGAAAGCAAAGGGTTTGTGGAGATGGACATCTTCCACCTGAACTGCAAATAAAAATGTCTGAGCCGGTCCTAGAAGGAATCATAGCAACACATTTGTAGTAAAGTTAGGCAGAAAAATAGTAACTGTTGAGACAGCTTCCATATGGAAAATAGAAACCAAACTATCTAGAAACCACTCAGGCATCCTGTCAAGAGACAGACAGCATTAACAGCCCTGTGAGGTTGTCCCAGCTGCACAAACAGGACAGGCCAATTCCAAGAGGAGGATACACGGACAGAGAGGCTGCCTCCAGGGAGCAGGTGTGCTGTGCCTTTCAGACCCTTCTTACCCTGCTCTGCAGACCCACGGGCAGAACTCTGGGAATGAGACTTGGCCAAGGGGACAGAGCCTGCTCCATGCCACAGAGAACAGAACAGACTGTCCAGGTGTCCTTGCCCGCTCTCACACAGGCACCTGGCAAATATCAGGTGAACCCCAGAAGACCTGACTGACCATTACTGCTAGAGTGGTTTTGGCTATGTGCCTACCAGATGCGGAGCACAGAGAACCCTTTGTTCCAGAGGCATTGTTACCACAGGCCAAACTGCCTACTGCCACAAGAGAGGTGATCAGATTCCCCTTCTCCTCCCCTCCCCATCTGTTCATGGCAACCATGTTATGTGTGAGAATTTACATAAATTGCCCTCTGATATGTGGAAGAAAATCCAAAATCCAGTTTGGAAATCCACAGCAGGTTGACAAGTAGCTTTGATCCCTGAAATTTCCAGAGAGCAGCAGATTAAGGATTAATTAATTAACATTCTCCCAATCCAAAGTGAGGAAAATCATGGCCACTGTAGGCACAGAAACAAGTCTTCCTTAAAGACATTTGCCATCAGTATCTGAAGGTTTTCCCATTAGTCAGCAGGGAAAACTCATTGCACACACCTAAGTCAACCACCCCATTCTTGTGGCAGGACTACATGAATAGGCATTT